TGCTTATTGGACCATTTGCAGGGTTGAGTTAGGAAAACATTAAACACTCTTAGACCCTTAAGTCAATGGGAATTTAATTCAGGAAACTGATTACATAGGTGATAGAAGAACTGAGAACCAAATGGAAAGAATGAAGAAATGAGTGTGGGAAGCTAGAAGGACAAAGGGAAAGGTAGTATTATTGGAACCCAGGAGCATAGATCCACAGCAGAATCTATCACCATGACAGTCTTACAGAAACTAATCACAGAGGAGAAAGAGCCAGTAAAGGAGATTATGTCCAAGGCAAGAGGGAAATTACCCTGGTTTCTTGTACCTGTTCTCCAATCTCTCCTGAGTGCCTCTCATGAACAAACCTAGCTGGAAGCCAGCAGATGAGGCAAATTGGGAGACACAGCTGTCTATAATATAAGGCAAGAAAATAAAGAAAACAAGAATTAAACATAAAATTATTGCATTTTTCTGTCATAATTATCTATAACTATAATCTGTTGAATCACCCTTCCTTGGCCAACAAAGGATCTGTTACATACATCTTGGGCAGATTCCCCCAAATTATTGATCAGTTTCAGTCATTAAACCTGTTTCATGCCTGGTCAGCATACGTTTGCATGCTGCCAGGGCTAAGGGATTACTCTTAACCACATAGCCACCAGGACCATAAGGAATTCTCAACCAGCACACATTGGGGCAGATAGGCAGCAGAAACCTCAGCTCTTGAACACGTCACTGGAGCTGAAGGGAATTCGTAGCATTCAGGCCAGTAAAAATTTGATGAGGATAGGTTGTTTATATAATCTCAAAGTACCTCACAAAAGACTTATTTGCAGAAGAGAGATCTAGCAGACAGCATCCTAACCAAGTGAAAAAAAGTTCACATGACCAGCAGTAGAACAAATCAACACCATATACATTCTGTCACTTCTGTGATGTTCTTGGGCAAAAGATTTGTTATGTTAATCTAATCTTGAGGAAATATGAGACAAAACCAAATTTAGGGACATTCTACAAAGTAACTGGCATGGATATTCCAAAAATAACAAGGCCTTGAAGGGCAAAGAAAGATGGAAGAACTGTCTTGAGTTGAAATAAGCTAAAAGAAATGACAACTAAATGCAAGACAAGATTCTGGGTTGGATTCTAAACCTGTTAAGAACATTATAAAAGGAATTAAGACAGGAAATGAAGTCAAATTGTCATTATTTGCAGACATGATATTCTATATAGAAGACCCCAAGAACTCCAACAAAAGTCTTCTGGACTTAATAGCCATATTCAGTAAAATAGCTGGATACAAGGTCAACACGCAAAAATCAATAGCTTTCCTGTACACAAACAATAGACTCACTGAGAGAGAAATAGGGCAAACAATTCCTTTCACAATAGCATCCCCAAAAAATGAAATATCTAGGAAACAACCTAACAAAAGAAATCAAAGACCTCTTCTCTAAAAATATAACATTCTGAAAAAAGAGATCAAAGATGATATCAGAAAATGGAAAGATATTCCTTGCTCCTGGGTAGGAAGAACCAACATAGTGAAAATGGCCATACTTCCAAAACTGCTATATAGAGTCAATGCAATCCCAATTGAAATCCCAGCAGCATACTTCGTGGACATCTAGAAAACAGTCCAAAAATTCATTTGGAAGAGGAGACCTAGAATAGCAAAAGCAATTCTAGGCAATAAAGACAAGGTAGGGGTTATCACAATCCCCAAATTGAAACTATAGTACGAAACTACTGTGATAAAAAAAAAAAAACAGCATGTTACTGGAAAAGAAACAGACCTGAGGACCAGTTGAACAGATTGGAAGATGAAGAAACAACTCCAGAAACACTCAGCCACCTCATCTTCGACAAAGGAGCCGAACGCCCTCCCTGGAGGAAAAAATAGCCTCTTTAATAAATGGTGCTGGAAAAATTGGGTTTCAACTTGCCAAAGATTCAAACTAGACCTGTATCTCTCACCATGCACCAAACTAAAATCAAGATGGATTAAAGATCTAAATATTAAAACAGAAACACTAAACTTCCTGTAAGAGAGGTTAGGTAGAACTCTTGAAGATAATGGTGTAGGAAAAGATTTTATGAACAAAATCTCAGTTGCCTGTGAACTAGCACAAACAATCAACAAGTGAGATCTCTTCTTATTAAAGAGCTTCTGCACGGCAAGAGAAACCACCAGCAGTGTGAAGAGACAACCCATAACGCCAAAAAAACTTTTCACCTGCTGTTCCTCAGACAAAGGTCTACTATCTAGAATCTATAAAGAACTTTAAAAAATCAGATCTCCCAAATTTAAAGACCTAATCCAAAAATGGGTATCTGAAATAAACAGACATTTCTCAGACAATGAAGCAGAACTAGCAAATAAACATATGAAAAAATGTTCAACATTACTGGTCATTTGAGAGATGCAAATGAAAACAATGCTGAGATTCCACTTCACCCCAGAAAGAATGGCTGCTATCATGGAATCGACCAATAACAAACGCTGGCAGTGATGTGGGGAAAAAGAACCCTGCTCCACTGCTCCTGGGAGTGTAGACTGGTGCAACCACTGTGAAAATCAGTATGGAGATACCTCAAAGAACTAGGACTAGAGTTCCCATTTGACCCAGCTATTTCCCTGCTGGGTATCTTCCCAAAAGAATTAAAAGAATCATGCCGTAGCAGTATATGCACATCATGTTCATAACAGCACAGTTTGTGATAGCTAAAACTTGGAAACAACCCAATTGCCCATCAACTGGAAACTGGATAAAGAAAATGTGGTTTTTGTATATAATGGAGTACTACTCAGCCGTAAAGAAAGAGAAATTAGAGACATTTATAGCTAAATGGATACACATTGAGCCAATACACTTAAGTAAAATAAGTAGGACACATATATGTAAATACTGAATAGTTTCCCTGGTGTGAGAAACTGAAAGCGTAAATAAGGACTAAAAGGTAAAATAGATGATGTGAAATAGTAAGAAAAGGGGCAAAGGGGAAGGGGAAGTGGGAGGGGTAGGGGAAAGGAAAGAAGGGAATGGAATTAATATGAGAAAATGAAAAAAATGGAAACAAAGTCTTTGTAAATAGGGAGAGATGGAGGAGTTGAAGGGAGGGCAGGGGAAGGGGGAAAAATAAGAAAAATAGACTACGTAAAGGTGCAAATTCCCAATGATGAATGTCATTATATTGTATACCTAAAATGTACCAATAAAATTAATAATATAAAAAAGAACATTATTGTAAAAATGAGTAAAATTTTAATGAGATCTCTGCATTATGTGTTGGAATAAAATCAGTTTTAATCGCTTGCCTTTGTGAGTGTATTGTGTCTTTATTAGAGGATGAGTTTTGATTCATAAATACACACTGAAGTGGTGAAGAATAAGGTATCATTTGACTGCTGTCTATGCTCAATCCGTTGAAGGGAGAAAGTATGTATTTGTATTTGTGTGTGTGAAGAGAGAAAGTGAATAAATAATAAGGCAAATGTGTAGAATACTAACATACTAACAAGTGGGAGATTTAGATGAAAAATGTGCAGAAGTTCCCTATATTAACTTTGCAACTGCCTTCCGTATGTTTTACTTCTTAAAGGATTCTACAGCAAAATTGCCTGGTCCTGGTGTTACACATATTTTAATTTCATACCCATATATCACTCTTCCTCTGGGTGCCCGAGTGTCATACTAGTATGTAGAAACAGCTCAATATTACATAATTTAAGGAACATTTTTTAAGAAAATGAATATGAAATCTCAAATTCAAAATTAGATGTGAAAGTGAATATTTATTTAGAAGGGGCTCAAGCAACTGCTGGCACTGAAGCTCAAACTGTGTTAGCATCATAGTAAGTCTGCATCAGTTGGAATGGGAACATAGGCCTGCTCCACTGCCCTACATGGGCTGAGGAAATTCTCTTTCCCTATTGTGAGGGCCTTTGTCGCTGTGACCATTGATTGTGATATGTCAACCTGATTGGATAAAGAAATGCCTACCAGATTCACAAAGCACACTTCTGGGTGTGTCTGTGGGATATTTCCAGAGATGATGGCATCTAGACCAGAAAACTGAGGACAGAAGACCCCTCCCCCAATCACGGGTTACACCATCCAATAGGCTTATAGCCTGGATGTAATAACAAGGGAAAGAAGGAGGAAGTTGGCATGTATTTTAAAAACTCCATTCATGTACCAACTCCCCACAATGAAAGTAATCATAGGTACTGAAAATATGTGCTAATAAAAATGTTAAAAGAACAGTTCCATTCTACATAAGCAGATGTGTCTTTTGCTACTGCTATTGCCTGTGGACATCAGACTCCAGCTTTTTGGCTTTTCAATGCAGACTCACACCAGAGACTGCCCAGAGAGCTCCCAGGCCTTCAGTCTCAAACTGGTGCTGCATCCTCAATCACTGTAATTCTACAGCTTCCAGTTTCTTGGACTGAGCATCTTTAGGATCCTTCACCTCTCCAGTAAACAGATGGACATTGTGGACCCTCCCACCTCGGATCCTGTACACCTGCCTATGAAATCCCCTTGCATAATTATACTCTATTGATTCTGTCCCTCCAGATAACTCTAAGCAATATACTCACCAACAGAGCAAAGCCTACACTAGTGTGGGTTTGAACCTAGGGAAAAAACACCAAGGAGACTACTGACTCTATCTCTGATGTTCTCAAATACAAAAGCCAGCCTCCAGCCTTAGCAAATAGACTGTAGGAAAAGTATAGCCTCGATAATTTATAGACGGAATAGAAATAAAGTGCAATAAAAAGTAAGAAAGAGGCTACTGTGCGGCCCAGGTTAGCTCTCCAGAGACCATATCATATTTGGGAAAACATATGATAACAAAGACCTATGTTGACCTGACTTTTTGTCTTTTTGAGACCTTGTGACATGGGGGCCACAAAGAAGTTGTCTATTGCAGAGAAAGCTGTTGGTCTCTTTCTATCAGGTACAGAATATTCCATATATACCACTCCTCATACTAACCTGTATCCTAAGATGGAGAAGATGACTGTCCATACCCTTCTCTCTCCAGGGACATATGACAATAACAAGCCAACAGAGGTCCTCCTTGAAATAGGGTGTGTTGTTTGTGCTGACCTATGCATGAAGGAAAAGAGAACTGAAAAACAGAAAAAAAATGTTACTACAGATTTAGAGTGGAAATAATGCTCCCTCTGCTAAGCATTTCTCCAAGATGAAACTTGCTTCACTTTTATAACACAACCCATCAAAGAACTGAGACAGCTCATACTATTATCCATCATGCTATGGTAGTGTCCTTGGATGCTACAAAAGAACACATGTGGGTAGATTGTCGGTTTGTTATTTTTAGTTCTGGAAAAATTTGACTATAGGGAGAAATTTCAATAAAATCACCTAGTCCCTAGTCTGTATAGAGAATACCAAGGGCACATCCATCAGTGAGTAATGCTAGTTACTTCCACAAGCATTTGGAGGTGACTAAAGGGTGCTTCCCAGCCTTCTCTAGTCACACAGGCTTGCACAAGAACTTTTGTAGGACTGTGAAGCTGTGGTTGTCAGGAGCACATTTTCTCCCTTAGCCTTTGCATTTGCTTTTCCCTGTGAAAAGCTTCATTGCTTATCTTCACAGAACTGGCTGCTTCTTATACTCCAAAATCACTCAGGTTTTACCTACACAGCAAAGTATTCATTTCACCATACCAGGAGTCATGCTCATCTCCAACAATCACTCTCTGGCCCATAAAACACACCACGGCAGTTTATTATCTGTCTCCCCTACATCAGGGCAAAGACTTTTCCTGCTCATCACTGCATTTCAACCCAGCACAGGGCCACACGCACTGTAGATGCTCAATATATTGTTAATTCAACAGCCACAAAAAAAAAAAGCAGAGGGGAAAGAAAAACCAGATTCATCACCTGAATGAATGAATATGCAGATATGGTACATCATTTCTTGTTTTATCATTTCTTGAAATAAGTTTCTTTCCTGAAACACACCAAAGGACTAGGCACCCCCAAAGAAACTTATGATTTGAGAATGAAGTAAAAATTCATTCTCAAACTAAAATATCAGTTTCAAAATAAGCAGCTTACTCACTCTTTCTCTCTAATTATTTCAGCCAGTCAGAAATCATCAAGAACATAAAAATATTTTGCCATGGTGCCTGAGGAAGTGGCTCCAGAGTTGATAAAAATTCACAATGAGCAATGTCTGGTTGAAAAGCTGAAAGAAACCCCTGATATAGACCTTTTGTCCAAATCCAGATACTTCCAACCACATCCAGATTCCCCTAGCCACCAGCCTGAGCTACAGTGCAAGATCAGTAGGTCACTGAGCTTCAAGTCAGTTCCTAGAAGAAAGGTAAGAATTTGGACCAGAGTCTTTAAATGGGATCCAGTGAGGAGTCTGGGGCCACTGAGAGTCTGATAGACCAGGAGGGTCATCAGAATAATTGTTCTGATTATTCCAGATTGTTCAGCCACTCAGAAGCCCTGCTCATTTTACCGTGATCAGCCTGTACTTTTGGTAGTAGCAATTCAGATCCTCCTCAGCTTACAATTTACAATGAATAGGCTCCTATGACTTCATCATAAGTTCAAAATAGCATGTTGTAAATCTATTGACACCAACCAAACATCATGGCTTAGTGTACCTTAAACATCTCAGAACAGTTACATCAGTCTATGCTTGGGCAAAATCATCTAACACAAAGCCTATTTTATAATGAAGTGTTGAATAGTTCATATAACTTATGAATACCTACATCCAAAAATCACTGTCAACATAGTATACTGTAGATTACAGTTACTTCTCCTCTTCCCTCTCCCCAGCATCCTATTGCATATCACTATTCAGGAAACGATCAGAATTGGAAAGCTGAAGTAAGGTATGTACTGAATGTGTCTCACCTTCACATTATTATAAAGCCAAACAACTGGAAGTTGAATCATCATTAGCTGGGGATCATTTGTGCTTATTAAACAACTACTATGTGGCAAGCACAATGCTAAGCACTCCCTCCTTCACTCAGTTTTAATATCATTCTAGATTCTGGAAAGGGGTTGTTAGATCTGACACATATGGTACTAAGACTAGAGTCTAAAGTGATAGAGTCCTGGGACAAGAGGCTACAATACATGCTACAATAGATGTTTATTAAGCAAGTGTCTCTTCGCTCTGTAAAAGACAGGGAGTTAGGAGACAGATTGCTTTAGGCTGTGGATGTACTACATACTTCAATAAAAATAAGCAATCCCAAGTAGGGATCGCTCTAGTTAGATCCTCAGTCGGTGTTGGCCTAAGCCAGGGCACATCAGAAAAACCACAGTTCCAGTGGAGGGAGAGCTCCCTCAGGACAGAAGGCCTCTAAACTCAGATCAGGACTTCTCAGTAGATCAGAAGAACTGAAGTTCTAGTAGAAGGAGAGACTTCTTGATGACAGGAAGCCTCTAAACTCAGAGTAGTACATTCAAAAACAGAGTAAAGGTGTAAAAGTCCAGCTCCAAAAGTTCTGAACCAACTGGTCAACAAAGAATAAGTCCAGATTCAATTTCCATGTCACCTTTGTATTCAAAATCTTCTTGCCTCCATTCTTAAAACCTCATTTTACATGGCATGAGAGACCACTACTCAGACAACATTTTGGATAATGTGTTGTTTTAGAGGCTCCTTCACTCTAATTTTTTTCCTGGTTCTTTACACCACATTTACACACTCTTATCTAACGGGACTAAAACAACTAAACCAACTAAAGTTGTTTTAGAACTTAGAGCCCACAGTAGAAAATTTATATGACCAGTGAGATGACCTGACTATAGCTAAAACTTTACGTTCATCTCTAAAAAAACATTATCTACATCCCAAAGAGTATTATACCTGACACTAGAAACTTGCAGTGGAGAGAACAGTGTGCCATTTATCCTGTGTATGCTGAAGAAGGTGGCACAATAATGTCATTGAGATCCATTTTGAAAGGCAGGGACACCCACTCAGGTGAGGTGCATTAAGATGCAAATTACTCTCCACAGGGGGCAGAGTGCTGCTAGTTACAGCTGAAACCAAGTTCTGTGATCTCATTATATCTTTTCTCCACACTCCCTGGGTTGCTGGCCCTCCAGCTAAGCAAGTTGAGGCATGTGTTATTCCCTGGAAGAAAGTTTGAACACTGTGGGAACCCAAGGTGTGCTTGGGAAGGTCACACTTTTCTTTACTGCTACTGCTGATGGCCAAAGTTTGGAACTTTTCATCAAAACACCCAGATGGGTGCATCATGGTCTTCACTACACTCCTTTAGCAAGGAAACAACCACCTCCACTGTGCAAAATCTGTTAGTAAAATTTCTGGATCAGTAATGCTCCCAGGGGAAATTTCTAGCTTGGAATTGATCTGTGAGGAATTCAGGTAGATACTAGATTTTATGAACACTTAATCAATAATTGTTAATTTCCATCTAAAACAACTGCAAAAAATTGTGGCATAGCAAAACTTTATATAGTGATTATTTTCGCAGCTTACATTCACTGATAACTCTCCACTTCATCCTCTGAATAACTGGGCTCAAATGTAATCTAAACGCTTGATGTCCTAGTTAACCATGAAGAAAGTTAAACCTTGTAGTTCAAAATATGTAATTTCTTAGCAAATTTTCAAATGTTTCTAAACAAGTTACTTTTCCATTTCTATTTCTTTCCCTTTATTATTACTTTATATAAATTGGGAAGGAGGTCAGTGTATAGCATCGTCATTTAGTCTATACTCACAAAATACTCAGATTGGTCCATGACTATATTTGAAATGTACAGAGATGGAAGGATATTTACATCTTGCTAAGCAAAGCAGAGCATTGCTACTGTTGTTCTCCAGAAGTTCAAGTATGTGTAAAAGGCTATATACGGATTTTGGTGGCTCAAAAGAATGGGTGTGATAAAAAAAATTAAGCTTTCTTATTATATACATTTAATATTATTGTTATTGGTAATATTATTTGAGTTTCACACCCACATTTCTATACTAGGGCAGTGACTTTGCAAGCCATATTCCTCATTTAGCTGAGCTCCATGTAAGATCTTGCCATCAGAAGGTGCTAAACAGAGATTAGAAGGCAAAGAAGGGATCAGGGTCTTGCTCCTTTCTGTTTTCCATCCTGACTGTGCCTGTCAGCATAGTTCCATCTGCAACCTTTCATTTAGGGCAGCAGAGGTTGCAACTACCAGCTGTTGTCCACTTTGAGCATCTTCTAAGATAGGAAGCAACTGCATAGCTAAAACTGGCTGGGAAGAGAGGCATGACAAGATCGCAGAACACTTGTGGAGAACAATTCTCAGAAGTCTGCATGTGAACTTGAGCAGGTTTTTGATGCGACCTGAGTGTGACATAAGCATGGAAAATATGAAAAAGAGACAGTCACCATTAAGAGCTCACTATTGTGCCTCCTCACAATAGCCCACCCTGTATTCCAAGGTGTATTTTTATTTTTATTTTTCCTCCCTTTTTTATTCAACTCAAACTTTCTCTGCAGAACCTGTTTTTTTCCCTACCCTTCTGCTTTTTTCCTACCTTTAATAAATGTGAAGCCTTGGCACCATTTATGCTTGTTTCATTCAATCCTTTGGGACAGAAAGAACCTAGAAATCACCTCTAAGAGGAGACTCAAGCACCCCAGAAGCCAGTAAAATAATTTGGTGAGCCAGCCAGGAGACCAGGTGAGGCTCTTGGTCATGAAGATTTTTTTTTTCTTTCCCTGTCTCTCTCCCCTGGGCTGGGAATTTGGTAGACTTTTCTCATGGTGCCTGGAACTATTTTCTTCTTTTTCTACCATGGGGGCGGGGGGGGGGGGCGCTCTGTTTTTCTTCCCATTTGCAGTCACTCTATCATAAGAATTAAGTAGCCAGGCAGCCTTTTATTAAGCCCTTTGTCTTCACATTTTTGTTTTCTGAGGTGTTTTGCTACTCTTTTGGGAAATTAGCTTAGTCTCTCCATGCGCCATTTGCTACTTTTGAGCTTGGGGTCCTCTCTGTGCTTTTCCACTGGATGGCCATTTCTTTCTAAGGGTGCTTAATCGAGGCTGCCTTCTTGTCTTGTCACATGGCTGGATGCCATCTTGTCATGTGGCTGCACACCATTTTGGGTCAGCC